TTCCTTTTATTCCCAATGATGTAGAGTATTAGTCTCTGATCTGAGAAGAGGGCTGTCGATCAGTGCGTTGGACGGGTAAAGCGGGGAGTGTGGCTTGAAGGGATTCTAAGAAGCTTTCCATAATAGGTGTCTGGTGGCAGCACCACTGAGATGTATGGTTGATCTTGTAATTTGTGGGCCATTAGTGCCTCGAACTATGTGAAGTGAAAATTGGAGAATGGTTGTATATGGAAATGACTCTACATTTTGGTTAAATCTCTGTTATTTATGAGTGCATTTTATTTTCTTTTCATGATTCGCTATTGATTCCACCTTTTATATGCGTTGAGCTACTCCCACCTGAGCGGCGTTCGCGACCTTCGGTCGTGACCCCGGACCGTGTCGCCCTCCGACCAGGCACGGCAGGGGTCAGGGGGTGAGGTCATGACAGTTATGGTATCAGAGTAGCCAGGTTAGGATTCTTGGCCTAGAAAGTTTTAGAAGTGTCATCAGAGTAGTTTTGGATGGATTAGTAACTGGGTGATTGTGTTGTAGGTTAAAGATAACAAGGACTCGTGTCAACAATGCGAGTTCCAGCAATGAGAACACCGAGGCTTTCTATGAATTCTTTAGGACTTTAGGGGCCATGACCTAGATGATGAAAGAAGTGATGCCGGCCCTGTCTACCCCTGCCCCAGAACAAAATGATAGTGGCTTGATAGAGAGATTTAGGAGGTTGGCACCTTTGATCTTCGTGGGGCATGGGGGATTGGAGAAAGCTGAGAGATGGAGAAGACAGGTGAATAAGATCTTTGATGTCTTACACTGTACAGATGAACATAAAGTTAGGTTGGGAACCTTCGTGCTAGAAGGAGAAGCTGAGCATTGGTGGGGCTCAGTAAAGCAATCTCGAGAAAGGTCAGGGGTAGTAACCACCTGGGAGAATTTTCTAGAGGGTTTCAATGAAAAGTACTTCTCTGACTTCGTGCGAGAGAGGAAGAGGTAGAGTTTATAGAGTTGTAGCAAGGAAAGTTGTCTGTGGAACAGTATGCAGTAAATTTTGCTGAGCTCTCGCGGTTCGCGTCGCATATCATTGACACAGAAGCACGAAAAGCTAGCAAGTTTGAGAGGGGCCTTCGGCCCGATATAAAGGGAAGGATAATTTCACCAACCTTAAGACTTTCTCCCCCTTAGTGGATCTTGCCATGAAGATAGAGAGAGACTGTGAAGAATTCCGTCTGAGGAGAGAAGGGAAACTGGGAGTCGTGCAGCCTGAGAATTTTAAGAGAAGGGCATGACCACCTCCAAGGAGAGAGTTTAAGGGCAGAAATAATCAGGGAAAAGCTAAGATTCAGAGGACCTTTCAGGGCAATATAAGGGAAAATCGACGCTCATCTTGCCCTCACTATGGATTGAGCAACCACAATGTGTCGGAGTGCTTCAAAAAGACCAGGGCATGTTTCCAATGTGGCAAGCTGGGCCACCAGGTCAAGGACAGTCCATCAAAGGACTAGAGATCCGACCAAGGACCCAAGGTCAGGTTTTCACGTTGACAGAACAACAGGCTAAGGTGTCTACCTCTGTGATCCGAGGTACGCTCTTTGTTTGTGGAATTGAAGCAAAAAATTTAATTGATCCTCGATCCTCCAACACTTTTGTTGCACCACATTTTACATGCCATTTAAATGTTAAACTTGCACAACTTGACTGGACCTTGGTTATATGCACACCCATGGGGGAATATTTAGAAATTGATATAATATATAAACATTCTGGGGTTGTGCTTGAGGGGCATATTTTACCTATAGACTTGATACTCCTAGACATCTAGGATACTAATACTATTTTAGGCATGGACTGGTTGTCCACACACCATGCTACAGTGAATTGTTATGATAAAACTGTAATCTTTAGACACCCAAATCGGCCTAAATTGAATTTAATGGGCATTAAGGATGTTTCCCCCTACAACTCTTCTCGGCCCTTCGGACTTCCCGCCTGTTGGGCAAAAGATGTGTTCGATACTTGGCTTATGTGGTGGAAAATCAGGATGTCCAGTCTTAGTTAGAGGAGATACCTGTGGTGACGGAATATCCAGAATTTTTTTGTGAGGAGTTAACTTCGCTGCCCCAGTTAGGGAGATAGAAGTTGAAATAGAAGTATCCCCTCATATTACTCCAATTTCTAAAGCCCCTTACAAGATGGCCCCAACAAAGTTAAATGAACTGAAAGAGTAATTGTAAGAATTATTAGATAAAGGTTCCATCCGGCCCAGTGTATCACCGTGGGGCTCACCAGTTCTGTTTGTAAAGAATAAAGATGGGTCTTTGAGGCTTTTCATTGATTATAGATAGCTGAATCAGGTCACGATAAAGAATAAGTACCCCTTGCTCAGAATTGATGACTTGTTTGATCAACTGCAAGGGGCCCAAGTATTTTCCAAGATTGACCTCTGGTCATGCTATCATCCACTGCGGGTTAAGGAAGGGGATGTTCCCCAGACCACATTCAAGACCCGGTATGGTCACTATGAATTTTTGGTTACCATTTGGATTAATCAATGCTCCAGCTATCTTTATCGATCTAATGAATCGGGTTTTTAGACCCTTTCTAGACAATTTTGAGGTGGCCTTTATAGATAACATTCTGGTATACTCGAAGAGTCTAGACGAGCATGAACAACATGTAAGGATGGTCCTCCATACCATTAGGTATGAAAATCTGTATGCCAAGTTAAGCAAGAGTGAATTCTGGCTCCTGAGCATGGCTTTCCTTGGGCATATTGTTTCTAAGGATGGGGGTCGCAGTTGACCCTTGTAAAATCGAGGTTGTACTTAAGTGGGGAAGACCAACAAATGTGTTAGAAGTCCGTAGTATTCTGGGATTAGCGGGTTACTATAAATGTTTTATTGAAGGTTTCTTAAAGATAGCACGTCCCCTGACTCGCCTACCCCAGAAGGAAGTAAAGTTTGTGTTGTAAGATGCCTGTGAGAAAAGTTTTCAAGTGTTAAAGAAGAGATTGACTACGACCCCCATTTTGACCTTGCTTGAGGGGAATGAGGATTTTATAGTATACACTGATGCCTCACATAAACGGCTTGGAGGTGTGTAGATGCAGCGGGGAAAGGTCATAGCCTACACCTCTAGGCAGTTAAAGCCATATGAACGAAATTATCTAAAACACGATTAAGTATTTGTTTTCTCAGAATGAGTTGAACATGAGACAAAGAAGATGGATGGAATTTTTGAATGATTATGGCTGCACCATCAATTACCACCCAGGTAAGACTAACGTCGTAGCAGGTGACCTGAGTAGGAAGCCCATGGTATCAGTGGCTCATATGATGATATGAGAGATGAAACTATTAAAAGATACCATAGAGTGGCATCCGACTCTACCCCTTAGTGATGGGGCAGGAATGATTTCTTGTCTAAGGGTGGAGGCCTAGCTCTTTCAGCAAATTCGAGTGGCACAAAAGAAGATCCTCAACTCATGAAAATTCTCGAGAAAATGAAGTTGGAAGGAAAAGAGGACTTTGCGATGGGCATCGATGAATTGTTAAGATTTAGAGATTGGATATGTGTTATGAATGATGAGAATGTAAACAGGGCTATTTTGGAAGAAGCACACCACTCCCATTACACGGTACATCCAAGAAGTACAAAAATATATCAGAACCTGAAGAAGGTTTTCTGGTAGAATAATATGAAGAGGGAAGTAGCACAGTTTTTTTCTAAATGCTTGACATGTCAGCAAGTGAAAACCGAACATCAAAAACCTGGTGGACTGTAACAACCCTTACCTATGCCAAAGTGGAAATGAGAATACATCACTATGGACGTTGTATCTGGCTTGCCTAGATCAGGTACTAGACACGATAGTGTTTGGGTCATTGTGGACCAATTAACTAAAGCTGCTCATTTCTTATCGGTCCGCACAACTTATATCCTGGATAGACTTGCTCAGCTATACATCAAAGAGATAGTAAGGTTACATGGAGTACTTGTTAGTATTGTATCCGACAGGGATGCTAGGTTTAGCTCAAGATTTTGGAATAGTCTGCAATCAACCTTAGGGACAAAACTCACATTTAGTATTGCTTTTCAGCTCCAAACTGACGGGCAGTTAGAGAGGACCATTCAGATCCTGGAATATATGTTAAGAGCATGTGTTATGGATTTTAAAGGAAACTAAGATGATCATTTGTGCTTAGTAGAGTTTGCATATAACAACAATTTCCAGCCCAGTATTCAGATGGCACCTTTTGAGGCACTATATGGAAGGAAGTGCAGATCACCCATTTGTTAGGACAAAGTCGGTGAAAGGAAACTGTTAGGGCCAGAAATTGTTCAGTTAACATCAGAAAATATCTCTTTAATTTGAGAACGGCTCAGAACAGCCAAAAGTCGACGGAAGAGTTAGGTCGATAATCGTAGAAGAAACCTCGAATTTGAAGTAGGTGATCAGGTCTTCTTGAAAGTACCGCCAACTAAGGGCATTATGATATTTGACAAGAAAGGGAAACTGAGTCTGTGATTTATTTGACCCTTTGAAATTCTTGTAAGGGTTGGAAGTGTGGCATACCACTGGCCTTACCACCCGAGTTGGCTAACATTTATGATGATTTTCAAGTATCACTGTTGAGAAAATATCTGCTTACACGTCCCAGGTTTTAAGCTATCAACCAATCCCAATCAGAGAATATTTGACCTATGTTGAGCAACCGATTGAGATACATGACAAGAGGGTGCAGGTATTACATACCAAAGAAATCCCTGTTAGCCGGGTACTACGGCACTATCATTCAAGAGAAGAGTCGACATGGGAACGGAAAGATGAGATTCGGAATAAATACCCCCATCTATTTGATTAACTGATGATTTTGAGGACAAAATCCTTTTTAAGGAGGGGGTGATGTAAGAACTGAAACTTTTCCTGGCTACAAAGGCTTGCGCGGCAGTGAAAGCCAATGGAAGAGGAGAAAAGAAGTTAAGCAGCCATTTGTGTTATCGTCGTATGTTTATCTGTCATTTGTATAATTGTCATCTGCGTAGCTATCATTTGTATTATCACCATGTATGTAGCTGCCATTTGTGTTATTGTCGTCTATGTAACTGCCATTTATGTTATTGCCATCGTTGTAGCTACCATTTGTGTTATCGCCATATGTGTAGCTGCCATTTGTATTATCGTCGTCTATGTAGCTGCCATTTATATTATCGTCGTCTGTATAGCTGCCATTTGTGTTATCGTCGTCTGCGTAGCTGCCATTTGTGTTAACACTGTCTGTGTAGCGGCCATTTGTATTATCATCATCTGTGTAGTTGTTATTTGTGTTGTTGTCGTCTGTATAGCTGCCATTTATGTTATTACTGTATGTGTAGCTGCCATTTATGTTATTGTCATCTGTGTAGCTGTCATTTGTGTTAATGCCGTCTGTGTAGCTCCCATTTGTGTTATCGTCATTTGTGTAGCTACCATTTGGGTTATCGTCATCTGTGTAGCTTCCATTTGTGTTATTACCATATGTGTAGCTGCCATTTGTGTTACTGTCATTTGTGTAGCTTCCATTTGTGTTATCGCCTCTATGCAGCTGTCATTTGTGTTATTGTCGTCTGTGTAGCTGCCATTTGTGTTATCACCGTTTGTGTATCTGTTGTGAGTGTACGCCAAGTGGCACATGTAAGCCACTTGTGGGTCTTTGACTTCCACTTAGACACCACATACACAACACTTGTAACCTTTGTTGCTACTTGGCTTGTGCATGACGCCCCCTCTCTCCTTTCTTGCTTATAAATATCCCTTCAAAAGCTCCTCTCAAGAGTTTCACATTCTCTCTCTCTCTCTAGAGCCCAACACTTAGAGCTCACTGTTACTCCATTGAAGAGCCATTGTAAGAAGCTTGAAGGGTTCTGTGAAAAGGGAGTTTTGGAGGGACCATTACACACTAGATAAGTGGATCAATTCACCATTGTTGCTAAACTTGTGAGGCATGAAACTTAAATAGTACAATCATGAAAGGGGTGAAAGAAAGTGATTGTGTAGTAGTGGTTTATGCACTGTTTCACAGAACTGATGTCTTTGTTGCATGATGGGTTTTGATATTGGAAATAACTCTATTACTCATAAAAATTTGTAGAAAAGTGTTTATGTATGTCTAAATTAAAATGGAAAAGACATTATGATGTTATCTATTTTGAATTGAAAGTAATTAAGCATTCTTTGAGGCATGTCATGTGCATACTGTGAATTTCCAGAAATGTTTATGTTCTTGTAACAAGCTTTTGAATAGTCAAATGAGGTTCAAATTACCTTAAATTACTGCCATTAGAAAGATATAGGTGTCTACTTTGATGTTCATGTTTAAGCCTCGTTAAGAATCTTTATAAATGAGGAGTTATGCTTCCAATTGTGCAAGCATGTCATTATTCACAGTTTTCTCTGAAATTTTAACTGTCACCTTTGTTGCCATGAGTTTTACCTAATCAAATAAATTCCAATTTCTCTCAAACTATTGCCATTTGAAATATCTCTGTGTGAGGTTAAAGTTGCATGTTGAAAATATTTCAAAATTACTCCTAGATTGAAAGTTATGCATTAAAATATGAGAGCATGTCACTGCTGGCAGATTTCACCAAATTTCAGAACTATCACTTCTGTTTACATAAACTTTTGAATAACCAAATAGAGTCCAAATTCTTTAAAACTGCCCTTGTTGGAAAGATACATGTTTTCACTTGAACTTTGGTTCTGAAACCATTTTGAAATACCTTATGGATTGAAAGTTATGACCTTGCTAAGTAGGAAATATCACTATCACAAATGAACAACAAACTTCGGATATTATACTTCCATTGTATTGAGCTTTTGATTAGTCAAACGGACTCCAAACGCTTTCAAACAACCCCCATTTGAAAGAGAACCATTCTTGAATTTTGAATAGATTGAAAGTTACGTCCCTGTTTATAACAATACATCACTGTGAGAAATTGTAGCAAGTTTGGAACTGAACCCCTCTTGGTACTGTTATAATGTGAAACACTGTGATATAATTATACTGTGATATATTGTGATACTGACCTCTACGCAATGGGATTTCCATTGGTAATGGGTACTGTTATACTATGAAATACTATGAAACTGTTATACTGTGATATACTGTGACACTGACCACTATGCAATGGGGCACCCATTGGTAGTTGGATACTATTATACTGACTATACCACGACCTCAATGATAAGACTGAGGTCGGGAGGTGAAACAGAGTAATAGGGAGGGTCACGCCCCTAAAATGTTTTGGGCACTGCCCATTAGGATACCCAATGGTAGTGTAACGCTCTCTCGCTAAAAGGGCATGAGGAGAGGGTCGTGTCTTCCAAGGCCATTACATATCGATAACCTCAAAGCGCACTGAGAAGTGTGTGTGTGTGTGTGAGGACAATACGAAGTGGATCACCCACTTGTCACTGTCCTCCCTCTTGAGCGTGGGTAGAGGTTTCAAGCTACAGGATTGGCTTGGCCTGATCAATGGAATTTCTACTTCGGGAGTAGGCAACTCTTCTGTGCATTATGTGCTTTGTTGGTGTTCTATTATGCTAATGATGAAATGACTAATGATTTATGCACGGTATGATATTCTGACAATTGAACCGTATTCATTCTTGTACTGGTAAAATACTGAAAGATATGGAAAGAGATAACTTAGTGATGCCTGTGTGAATGTTGAATACTGCCTACTACTATTATCAATTATAGGCCAGAATACAATGGTGTGGATCTACTTACTGGGCTTTGAGCTCATTCCTTTTATTCCAATTGATATAGAGTGTTAGTCTCTGATATGAGAAGAGGGCAACTGATCGGTGCGTTGGACAGGTAAAGCGGGGAGCATGGCTTAAAGGGATTCTAAGAAGCTTTTCATAGTAGGTGTTTGGTGGCAGCGCCATTGAGATGTTTGCTTGATCTTGTAATTTGTGGGTCATCAGTGCCTTGAACTATGTGAAGTGAAATTTTGGAGAATGGCTGTATATAGAAATGACTCAGCATTTTGGTTGAATCTCTATAATTTATGAGTGGATTTTATTTTCTTTTCTTGGTTCGCTCTTGATGCCACCTTTTATATAAGTTGAGCCACTCCCACCTGAGCGGCGTTCGCGACCTCCGATCGTAACCCCGCACTCTGTTGCCCTCCTGCGAAGTACGACAGGGGTCAGGGGGCAGGGTCGTGACAATTATGGTATCAGAGCAGCCAGGTTAGGATTCTTGTCCTAGAAAGTTTTAGAAGTGTCCTTAAAGTAGTTTTGGATAGGTTAGTAACTGGGTGCTTGTGTTGTAGGTTGAAGATGACGATGACTCGTGCCAACAATGCGAGTTCCAGCAACGAAAACACTGAGGCTTTATGTGAATTCTTCACGACTCTAAGGGCCATGACCCAGATGATGAGAGAAGAGATGCCAGCCCCGTCTATCCCTACCCCAGAACAAAATGATAGTGGTTTCATAGAGAGATTAAGGAGGCATGCACCTCTGACCTTCGTGGGGCATGGGGGAGTGGAGAATGTTGAGAGATGGAGAAGACAGGTGGAGAAGATCTTTGATATCTTACACTGTACAGATAAACAAAAGGTTAGGCTGGAAACCTTCACGTTAGAAGAAGAAGCTGAGCATTGGTAGGGCTCAGTAAAGCAATCTCGAGAAAGGTCAGCGGCAGTAACCACCTGAGAGAATTTTCTAGAAGCTTTCTACGAAAAGTACTTCTCTGACTCCGTGTGAGAGAGGAAGGAGGTAGAGTTTATAGAGCTGCAGCAAGGAAAGTTGTCTGTGGAACAGTAAGCAGCAAAGTTTGCTGAGCTCTTACGGTTCGTGCCGCATATCATTGACACAGAAGCGCGAAAAGCCAACAAGTTTGAGAGGGGCCTTCAGCCCTATATAAGGGGAAGAATAGTTTTAACCAACCTCAAGATTTTCTCCCCCTTAGTAGATCTTTCCATGAAGATAGAGAGAGACTGTGAAGAATTCTGTTTGAGGAGAGAAGGGAAAGTGGGGGCCACACTGCCTGGGAATTTTAAGAGAAGGGTTCGACCACCTCCAAGGAGAGAGTTTAAGGGCGGGAATAATCAAGGAAATACTAAGATTCAGAGGACCTTCTAGGGGGATTTAAGGGAGCTCGTCATGCCTTCACTGTGGATTGAGCAACCACACTGCGGTTGAGTGCTTCACGAAGGCCAAGGCATGTTTCTGATGTGGCAAGCCGAGCCACCTGGTCAAGGACATCCAGTTAAAGGACCAGAGAACTGACCAAGGACTCAAGGTCGGGTTTTAGCTCTGACAGAACAAGGGGCTAAGGCGTCTACCTCTATGATTCATGGTACGCTCTCTGTTTGTGGAATTGAAGCAAAAATTTTAATTGATCCAGGATCCTCCCACTCTTTTGTTGCACCACATTTTACATGCCATATGAATGTTAAAACTGCACAACTTGACTGGACCTTGGTTGTATGCACACCATGGGGGAATCCTTAGAAACTGATATAATATATAAACATTAAGGGATTGTGCTTGAGCGGCATATTTTACCTATAGACTTGATACTCCTAGACATTCAGGATTTTGATATTATTTTGGGCATGGACTGATTGTCCACACACCATGCTACGGGGGATTGTTAAGAGAAAATTATAACCTTTAGACGCTCGAAACAGCCTGAATTGAATTTTATGGGCATTAAGGATGTTTCCCCCTATACTCATCTTGTTCCTTTGAGCTTCCTGCCTGTTTGCCAAAGATGTGTTGGATATTTGGCTTATGCGGTGGAAAATCAGGATGTCCAGTCTAAGTTAGAGGAGATACTAGTGATGAGGGAATATTCAGAAGTTTTTTCTGAGGAGTTAACCTCTTTGTCCCCCAATTAGGGAGATAGAAATTGAAATAGAAGTAGCCTCTCGTACTGCTCTCATTTCTAAAGCCCCTTACAAGATGGTCTAAGCAGAATTAAAAGAACTGAAAGAGCAATTAAAGGAATTATTGGATAAAGGGTTCATCCGACCCAGCGTATCATTGTGGGTGCCCTAGTTCTGTTTGTAAAGAAGAAAGATGGGTCATTGAGGAGTTGCATTGATTATAGACAGCTGAATCAGGTTATGATAAAGGACAAGTACCCCTTACCCAGAATTGATGACTTGTTTGATCAACTTCAAGGGGTCTAAGTATTTGCCAAGATTGACCTCTGGTCAGGCTATCATCAACAGCAGGTTAAGGAAGGGGATGTTCCCAAGACTGCATTCAGGACCCTGTATGGTCACTAGGAATTTTTGGTAATGCCGTTTGGATTAAACAATGCTCCAGTTGTCTTTATGGATCTAATGAATTGATTTTTTAGACCCTTTCTAGACGATTTTGTGGTGGTCTATATAGATGACATTCTGGTATACTCAAAGAGTCTGGATGAGCATGAACAACATCTAAGGATGGTCCTCCAGACCTTAACATTTGAAAAGATGTATGCTAAGTTAAGTAAGAGTGAATTCTGGCTCACGAGCATGTCTTTCCTCGGGCATATTGTTTCTAAGGACGGGGTCGCAGTTGACCCTTGTAAAATCGAGGCTGTAAGTGGGGAAAACCAACAAATGTGTCAGAAGTCCGCAACTTTTTGGGACTAGCAGGTTATTATAGACATTTTGTGGAAGGTTTCTCAAAGATAGCACTTCCCCTGACTAGCCTAACCTAGAAGGAAGTAAAGTTTGTGTGGTCAAATGCCTATGAGAAAAGTTTTCAAGAGCTGAAGAAGAGATTGACTACGGCCCCCATTCTGACCTTGCTTGAGGAGAATGAGGATTTTGTAGTTTATACTGACGCTTGACATAAAGGGCTTGGAGGTGTGTTGATGCAGCGGGGAAAGGTCATAGACTACGCCTCCAGGCAGTTAAAGCCATATGAACAAAATTATCCAACTCACGATTTTGAGCTTGCGGCTGTGGTTTTCGCCTTGAAGATTTGGAGGCATTATTTTTATGGAACCCAATTTAAAGTGTTTACTGACCATAGGAGCTTCAAGTATTTGTTTTCTCAGAAAGAGTTGAACATGAGATAAAGACGATGGATGGACTTGTTGAATGATTATGACTGTACCATCAATTACCACCCAGGTAAGACTAACGTCGTAGCAGATGCCTTGAGTAGGAAGCCCGTGGTATCAATGGATCATATGAGAGATGAAACCATTAAAAGACACTGTAGAGTGGCACCCGACTCTACCTCTTAGTGATGGGGTAGGAATGATTCCATGTATAAGGGTGGAGCTTCAGCACTTTCAGCAAATCCGAGTGGCACAAAAAAAAGATCCTCAACTTATGAAAATTCTTGAGGAAATGAAGTTAGAAGGAAAAGAGGACTTCGCTGTGGGCATCAATGAAATGTTAAGATTTAAAGATTGAATATGTGATGAGAATGTAAAAATGGCTATTTTGGAAGAAGCACACAACTCCCGTTACACGGTACATCCAAGGAGTACAAAAATGTATCAGGGCCTGAAGAAGGTTTTCTAGTGGAATAATATGAAGATGGAAATAACACAGTTTGTTTCTAAATGCTTGACATGTCAGCAAGTGAAAGCCGAACATCAAAAACCTATCGGACTATTACAGCTCTTACCCTTACCAGAGTGGAAATGGGAACACATCATTATGAACTTTGTATCTGGCCTGCCTAGATCAGGTACTGGACACGATAGTGTTCAGGTCATTATGGACCTATTAATTAAAGCTGCTCATTTCTTACGGGTCCGCACAACCTATACCCTAGATAGACTGGCTCAGCTATACATCAAAGAGATAGTAAGGTTGCATGGAGTACCTGTTAGTATTGTGTCCGACAGGGATGCTAGGATTACCTCAATATTTTGGAATAGTCTGCAATCAGCCTTGGGGACAAAACTCACCTTTAATATTGCTTTTCACCTCCAGACTGACGAGTAGTAGGAGAGGACTATTCAGATCCTGAAAGATATGTTAAAGGCATGTGTTATAAATTTTAAAGGAAACTGGGATGATCATTTTCCCCTAGTAGAGTTTGCATATAACAACACTTTTCAACTCAGTATTCGGATGGCACCTTTTGAGGCACTATATGGAAGGAAGTGTAGATCACCCATTTGGTGGGACGAAGTCGGTGAAAGGAAACTGTTAGGGCAAAAAAGTATTCAGTTAACATAAAAAAAGATCGATTTAATTCGTGAATGGCTCAGGACAGCCCAAAGTCGCCATAAGAGTTACGTCGATAGTCGCAGACGAGACCTTGAATTTGAAATGGGTGATCAGGTCTTCTTGAAAGTATCGATAACTAAGGCCATTATGAGATTTGGTAAGAAAGGGAAACTGAGCCCGCGATTTATTGGACCCTTCGAAATTCTAGGAAGAGTTGGAAGCGTGGCATATCGACTGGACTTACCACTCGAGTTGGCTAACATTCATGATGTTTTTCATGTATCACTATTGAGAAAATATAAGCTTGACCCGTCCCATGTTTTGAGGTATGAACCAATCCCAATCAGAGAAGATTTGACCTATGTTGAGCAACCGATTGAAACACAAAACAAGAGGTGCAGGTATTGAGTAATAAAGAAATTCCTCTTGTCCTTGTACTATGGCAGTATCATTCAAGAGAAAAGTCAACATGGGAACGAAAAGAAGAGATCCGGGATAAATACCCTCATCTATTTGATTAACTAACGATTTTGAGGACAAAATCCTTTTTAAGGGGGGGATGATGTAAGGACCGAAACTTTTCCCGGCTAGAAAGGCTTGCACAGCAGTGAAAGCCAATGGAAGAGGAGAAGAGAAGTTAAGCTGCCATTTGTGTTATCACTATCTGTGGAGTTGCCATTTGTGTTACTGTCATTTGTGTAGCTGCCATTTGTGTTATCGACGTCTATGTAGCTGTCATTTGTGTTATTGTCGTCCGTGTAGTTGCCATATGTGTTATTGTCATCTATGGAGCTATGTTATCGTTGTCTGTGTAGCAGCCATTTGTGTTATTGGTGTCTGTGTAGTTGCCATTTGTGTACCGTCTGTGTAGCTGCCATTTGTGTTATTGTCGTCTGTGTAGCTGTCATTTATGTTACTGCCATCTGTGTAGCTCCCATTTGTGTTATCGTCATCTGTGTAGCTACCATTTGGGGTATCGCCATCTGTGTAGCTGCCATTTGTGTTATTATCGTCTGTGTAGTTGCCATTTGTGTTACTGTCGTTTATGTAGCTATCATTTGTGTTATCGTCGTCTATGTAGCTGCCATTTATGTTATTGATGTCTGTGTAGCTGCCATTTGTGTTATCGTCGTCTGTGTAACTGTTGTGAGTGTATGCTATGTTGCACATGTAAGCCACTTGTGGGCCTTTGACATCCACTTGGACACTACAAACATAACACTAGTAACCCTTGTTGCCACTCGGTTTGTGCATGCTGCCTCCTCTCCCCTTTCTTGATTATAAATACCCCTTCAAACATTCCTCTCAAGAGTTTCACACTATCTCTCTCTCTAGAGCCCAACACTTAGAGCTCATTGTTTGAAGAGCCACTGTATGAAGCTTGAAGGGGACTGTGAAAAGGGAGTTTTGGAGGCACCATTACACACTAGGTAAGTGGATCAATCCGCCATTGCATTTAAACTTGTGAACATGAAACTAAAATAGTACAAGCATGAATGGGTGAAAGAAAGTGATTGTGTAGTAGTGGTTTATGAACTATTTCACAGAATTGATGCCTCTGTTGCATGATGGGTTTTGATATTGAAAATGACTCTATTGCTCATAAAAATCTGTGCAAAAGTTTTTATGTATGTCTAAACTAAAATGGAAAATATTTTATGATGTTCCCTACTGTGAATAGAAAGTTATTAATCATTCTTTGAGGCATGTCATGTGCACACTGTGAATTTTCAAAAATGTTCATATTTTTGAAACAGAGGTTCAAATGATTTCCAATTACTGCCCCTATAAAGATATAGGTGTCTATTTTGATGTTCATATTTAAACCTTGTTAAGACTCTTTATAAATGAGGAGTTATGCTTTCAATTGTACAAGCATGTCACTGTTAACGGTTTTCTCTAAAATTTTAATTGTCACCTTTGTTGCTATGAGTTTTGACTAGTCAAATGAAGTCCAATTGCTCTCAACTACTGCCATTTGAAATCTCTATGTGAGCTTAAAGTTTCATGTTGAAATATTTCAAAATTCCTCCTAGATTGAAAGTTATGCATTAAATAGTGAGAACATGTCACTGCTGGCAGATTTCACCAAATTCCAAAACTATCACTTCGGTTGTCACAAACTTTTGAATAACCAAATAGAGTCCAAATGCTTTAAAACTTCCCTTGTTGGAAATATACATGTTTTCACTTAAACTTTGGTTTCGAAACCATCGTTAAATGCCTTATGGATTGAAAGTTATGACCTTGCTAAGTAGGACATATCACTGTCACAAATATGGTGGAGGTGTATGGTGTAGGTGTATGGGCGGAGGGTAATGCGTTAGTATATCAGTTTTCAGAACGTTATGAACTTTCAACTTGTAAAGACATGACAATAGCGAATATGGTGGAGGTGTATGGGCGGAAAGCACAGTGGAAAGTTTGTTTGACTCGTAATTGTGTATTAGATATTGTGATTCAGCAGTTTGCAACACTTATAGATTTTCTTGATAATCATGACATCACTCAAACGATGAATGATGAATTGATATGAGATACACAAAATGATTGTTAATTTAGTATTAAATCTGCCTATGATTTATTATTTCAGGATAGAATGCGGTGGAATTGGGCACGCTTGCACAATATTTGAAAATGGCATGTACCTTTGAAAGTGCGAGGTTTTTTGTGAATTCTATTCCAAGGAAGAGTTTTAACTATGGACAATTTAATCAAAAGAGACCGTGTGATGGTGAATGTGTGTATGTTCCGTAAAGATGATGCCAAATGTGGTGATCACTTATTTCTATGGTTACTTCGGAATCTATTGCTCATATTAAAGACCAATGAGATTGTATTATTTCTTATGATATGAGGAGAAAGATTTGGCAGATTGTGAAGGCAGCGGTTTTGTGGGAGATGAGGAAAGAGAGAAATGATAGGGTCTTTGAAGGGAGAGCAGTGGAGATGGGCGTGGTGAAGATTCATATAATTTGGAGTTGGTTGTCCATTAAAAGGAAGGCTTCGGTGTGTTTGAGACTGATGTTGCAATCAACCTTTTCGATACGTTGGGACAAAGAATACTTAAAGTTCAACCAAGATATGTTTGGTGTCCACTATACCTAGCATACGCAACCTAAACTTTGATGGAAGATCACATGGGAATCCTGGTGTAGCTGATTAAGAGTTCTAATGGGGAAATGGTTTTATGCTATGGTGGACTTTGTGGAATAGCAATTGCAAATGGTGCAGAGATAGAAGTTGCACTGCAAGGTATGCACATCTTGTTTCAACGCTTTCAGAATTATCTATGTATTGTTGAAGGCGATTCGTTAAATATCATCAATTAGTTTAAGAAAGAAACAAGATCACCATGGAAGTTGAGAAGTAAGTGGATGGAAACTGTGGACATAAGTAATCTGATGATGATTACTTTTTAACATGTGTATAGAGAAGCAAATGAGTTGGCTAATGATCTTGCAAACAAAGGAGTTGATATCGATGCCTTAATGATTGTTGATGATCTTTTTTTTACCTTTCCTTTTTTCGTTTCTTTTGAGTTTGCTTTGTATATGTGTAACATTTATGAGTTATTAATAAAATAGATGTACTCTTGTCAAAAAAAAGAAAAGGGAATATTTTTGGGTTTTTTGTAGAGAGAAAATTGTAGAGAAAAACAGGCTTGGTGGAAGATTGAGCTCTGTGTTTCTGGTTTTCTCAAGTAAGTGTCTTGTAATTTTCTTTCTTTGATTTAGTGAGAAACATCGATCATCTTCGTGTAGTCATATTTGTGATGTAGTACGTAAATTCTGGTGTTCCTTTTCTATTATTTCTTTCATGCTTTATTCTTCTTGCTTGTTGCTTGTTCTATTTTTCTCATACTTCATTTGCCAAAAATCAATATATTTGGTTTAGAGCTTCTGCGCACAACAAGGAAGTCCATAACCAATAGAAAAAGGTAAGGAGATATAAGAACTCCATATCCTACCTTTTTTACCCCTAAAATGCCCTTTTGGAGAGCCAAGAGCGGGGTGGTAATGCATAAACGAACACAGGAAATAGACAATTTAGGGCAGTTTGTCTAGAATATATGAGGGATCTCAATATCGTTTTAAGTCTATTTCAAATGAGTTTGCTAATGTTCTTATACATAATATTGCAAAGACCAATCGGTAAGAAATCCTTCATAACATTTGGAGAACTAAATTTAGGAATAAGGAAAATAAAAGTAAAACTAATTTGATTAAGGAATTTACCTCTATTAAAGAAGTCATTCAAGGCTGCAATTAAGTCTTTCTGGATCACATCCCAGCTGAACTTATAGAACTCGATTGTAAAACCACCTGATCCAGGGGCGCCCTCGTTGATCATATCCCAGATACATGCTTTAAGCTCATCTAGAGAACCATTTTTAATAAGCTTTTTCAATTGACTTTAGTTAAGTTGAGAAGGAGATGGAAATTGGTCTGCCATATGTAAATCAATTTCACTCTCCTTAGCCAGAAGATCCTCAAAAAACTCAATAATATGGTCCTCAATTTATGTGGCAGTGGTAATAGGAACCCCATTCTGATCCTTTAACAAAGTGGTCCCGTCATTCCTCTTTCGTACAATAGTTGAAAGATAAAAAAAATATGTAATGGAATCCCCATCTCGAAGCCAATTTGGTCGTGACTTTTGTCTCCACATGCTCTCTTCATATAAAAACACTTGCGGCAAATCTCTGGATAACTCTTTCTCCTCCACCATTATGGACTCATTGGAACGGTCCCGAATCAAATTATTATAAATAATAGAAAGTTACCTATGAGCAACAAAGATATTTTCGCCAACATGTCCAAACGAATTAGAATTTCATTCACTAATATCTTTTCATAGTCTTTTTAATTTGGAAACAAACCTAAACATGGGTGTGCCCCCCACGCTTCCTCTCTAAAATTCAGATATGATATCCAGAAAACCTTAAGGCCCTTGCTACATAGTGAAATACTTGAAGAGTTTTGGACCTACTGAAGGCAAATTCGATAAAGAAGCAAGAAGGGGACAATGGTTAGAATTACCTTTAGGCAAAAGCTCCACCTTTGAATCGGGATAAGAAAAAATTTATTCTATATTAGCAAATGCATGATCTAGGCATTCCCGAATACATCTTCTGTTTATCTGACTATTAGACCATGAGAACCACCTTCTAATAGAACCAAGATCAGTCAAAGCACGATAAGCCAGAATATCAGCTAAGTTACATTATCTTAAATCCAAGCTTGCGAGCCCATCTAATAGCAAGTTCAATAGGAAGTTTGGTCTCTAGAAGAAATAATAGCCCAGTATTATAATTATTGACTAAATCAGCAATATCAGAAACTCTCTCAGGCCCTCTCGGACCTCAAACATTCCACGCACTCACAAACATATAAAAATCATAGAGGTGGTGAGATACCTGCTGAGCTAGCATTATTATCACTAGCTAGCGCTGCCTACTTTATAATTCTTTGGACTTTCCTAGGTTTGGTGCCTTCTTTATGGCATCCACTCACAACAAAGAAAGGCTTAGGCCATCTAAAAGATTTGGCTCCTCCAGAAAAAGATTTCAGCCCAATAGATTTATCTCCTAGTGTTCATGTAACATGCCATCGCTGCCTCCCTTTACAAATTGTAATGTTATGGAACATACACTATCATCGCGTTGATCTGGGCCAACTACCTCGCGTACACTATACTGCATGGTTGAATCAACCATGGCTTCTGTTGTATGCATATCCTCTTCTAAGTTTGTAGATGGCATTGCTACACCTTTACTGCCGAACAGGCCTGAATGATCATCAGCACCAGCAACCGCAAAGCCCCCCCCCCCAAACCAAAATTTAGCCTTGAAAATAGTAGATGTTATTTTTGTCAAAATACAATAGTAACCTCCAAGTTGTTAGTAGAGAGAGAAGGGGTACAAGTTGTGAAGAGTTTAAGGTTTCTCTGAAGAGACTCGGTGTCCATTAATTAATATGAATATGCAAATTTCTCTTTTATAGACAAATTACATATGACTCTAATAGAAACTAAATTATAGACACCTATACTATACCAGGACTTACCATAAAGTACAAGACACAATATCCTACCTTTCCGATATTTATTGATTACAATATACACATTCTATATTAACTAAATATACAATATATACTTTCCTTTCACAC